TAGTTGTGATGCTTTGCACGTATTAATGTTGATGTTGGTTCATATATGTATGATATATGGAGTAAATTGGTGCTAGATTCATATGTATGCTTGGAAATGATATATATGGTTTAAACATAATGTCGGACTGATGAAGAATGTTAGACTAATGTAGAATGATTAGTTTTTAGTGCTTGATTGATATTTGAATATTTCAGGGTTAATAATTTTTTTTATTTCAGGATTAATAATTTTTACAATTTGAACAAGAAACTATATATAAATCTTCAACTATTAAGGGCCACTTTAGTGAACAAGATACCATAATAAACTAATTATTTGTATAAGCTATCTTTAAAGAACAAGATACCACAATAAACTCATTATTTTTAACTTACATGACAAAGTTAACTCTCATTTTCTTTTTAATTTATTAAAGAAATTTATCCAAACAATATATAAAATAACAAAATATATAATAAACAGAAAATTAGATAGTAAATAATATAACACTTATAATTAATATGACACAGTATATATATATATATATATATTAGTTTATTTTGTATATGAAACAAGCGTTTTCGTTATTACTATATATACATATATATGTTTTGTTATCTTGGTCGACTATAATTGTATGATTTACTAAATATAAATGTTGTAGCGGATCGTTATAAATAATAATAAGAAATAGACTATCGACACCTTTTTTAACGCTTTATTTTTAAAGCATTATCTATTTTTGGTTTAAAATCATAAATTTTAATAAATTTTATCATTAAATTAGAAAAAAAAACTAATTAAATATAAAATTGTTACTCATAAACTTTGTAATTTTTAATATATAGTTTTTATTAAATTTTAACTAATAATAAATAGAATATTAAAAACATTTTTGGTAATAATTATAGCTTGATAAGTCAAATCACGGAAACTGTTTCATATTCAAGCATGGATATATACGCCGAATATTCCACGGCACCATGCAATGGGTTGCTTGAAGGGAAGAAAAGGATGAGACTATAGTGCATAGAGATGAAGAAAACGAGAGTGTAGATTCTAAATCTTGAGAAATATAAATTGTTGGTCCAATCATGTGACATTAATGCCCAACCTCGAAGATCAATTACTTTTCCATCAAGATAGGGGAAAAGCTGTGATTCAATGGCTGCAAATTTCTTTCTTCTTCTCGAAGCTGTGTGGGCCCAAAGGTCTAAAATTGTATTAAATCAATTAATAAAGTGATTTTTTTTCAATGATTATTTATCGTCACTATCATCGATAAGAATACTTTTAGATTTGTTATCTTAAGAAAAATTACAACGAACTCTGTTAGATTCTATACCGTAAAATTCAAAGGTTAAACCTACTTATTCGTAATTATATATATATATATATATATATATTAAATCGATAAAAATATATATTAATATTCATATGTTTAATGAATAATTGAATCGTGAAATTTTTTTGAAATTTTATGAAATTGATCTTGAGTTGTCATTTATATATAAATACTTTTCTTTAAGATAATATTTTTTTGGTGTAAAAAGTCTCGAATTCAAGATTTTATTATATGAAATATCTATCGACTTTATCGATAATTAATTTTTATCAAGAAATCTAGTTGATTATTTTTATTTGGATCTCCCGTACCAACAATATTTTTTTTTTCTTATTTAAGACTTGAACTCAAAATATTATTTAAGAGAATATAGTCTAATACCACTTGAACTAATGATTTGTCGATTTTTTTTATATATTTTATAATCATAGTATAAGAATGAAGTGCTCATCATTGAAAATAAGGACAAATCTTTGTTAGAGACCATGAACGCACACAAGGTGAGTGTTCCCATTCTTGCATAGTCTATTATTGAATTTGTCACACAAAACTCACCAATTAATATATTTATGAATGAAGATATCATATTAAACTCAATTGTTATTTGCACAATTGCTTCAATTGTTAGATGTTATTAGCTGTCTTAAGGGACTAAAACAAAGATTTTTTTTAATTATATAAATAAAAAGTTCAATTTTAACTTTGAGAGATAAAAAAATTACTCAAATTTTAAGAAATTAAAAATAGCCTTAAATATATTTTTTGTTAATATGAAATAACATATTTTGATTTTAGTCCTTATTTTCTTTTTTATTTTTCATCCTCCAAAATTTAAAATCGATAATTTTTGTTCCTTAAAAGATGAACAAATTTTGATTTTGATCCCTATAAAATGTTTTTATTTGATTTTCATCTTTCTAAAACTTAAAGGCACTATTGAATATCACATGTTATTTGGTGAATAGGTCTTCTTCAACAACTATTGAATACAAGACTCCAAAAGAAATGTGGTCAGACTCTGTGACAAATTATTCAATTTTGTGTGTATTTGAGTGTCCGACCTATGCTCATGTTAATGAGGGAAAGTTGGAATCAAGAGCTAAGAAATGCATATTTTTGGGTTATCAAGATGGTATAAAAGAGTACAGGTTGTGACACCCTAAAAGACTAAAACCCATGATTAGTAGAGACGTGAGTTTTGATAAGAGACAACCATGCTTAACCCAAGACCATGAATATAAAGTTGAATTTCATGGTGCTCCCAAAAAGGTAGAACTTGAAACTAGGCCACCTCAAAGGCATGATAGACTAGAGGAGACACAATATAAAGTCATAATGCTAGAGTCTACATATATATTGGCTATAGATACGTCAAGAAGACAACCTAGGCCACCGCAAAGATATGATAACTTTTTCGTTTTTGCACTTAGTATGGCAGAAAACATTAATGAGCAGGAACCTAGTTCGTTCCATGAGGCAATTAATTGTATGGATTGGTGCCATGAAATAAGAACTTGAATCCTTTCACAAGTATCAAAGTTAGAAACTTGTTGATAAACCAATTAATCAAAAGATTATGGGTTACAAGTGGATATTCAAGAAGAAAGAAAGAATAAGGTTCAAAGTAAGACTTGTTGCAAAAGGATTTACACAAAGAGGAGATATTGACTTTAATGAAGTTCTTTCCCCTGTTGTAAAGCATAGTTCTATTTAAGTGCATCTTGCTTTGGTGTCTCAACATGACTTGGAGTTAGAGTAACTATATGTAAAGACAACCTTTCTCCATGATTTGGAGGAATGGATTTATATTCAACAACCAAAAAGGTTTGTTATCCAAGAAAAGAAAATCATGTGTCCATTGAAGAAGTCACTATATGGGTTGAAGCAGTCACCCATGCAATGTATAAACAAATTGACTCATTTATGATTAATATTAGATATACAAGAAGTGAGTATGATAGTATTATTTATCATAAGAAATTTCCTGACAACTCCTATATTTACTTATTTATTTTGATGACATGCTAATAACATGTAAGTATCCAACTAAGATAACAAGGTATGGCACAATTAAGTGGTGAATCTAAGATGAAAGATTTTAGTCTAACAAGAAGAACTCTTGGTATAAAGATCATACGAGATCAAAAAGTTGGAAGATTATGTTTATCTCAAAAGAGTTATATTGAAAAGTTCTAGAGAGATTTGGAATGCTAAATGCAAAAAAAAATTAGTACACCTTTTGCAACTCCTTTTAAATTATCTACAAAAATGTCACCACATATAAAAGATGAGGAGGAGTTTATGTCTTGAGTGCCTTATTCTAATGCAGTTGGAAGTCTGATGTAAGCCATGGTTTATACTAGACTAGATATTGCACATGCAGTGAGTGTTGTTAGTTGTTATATGGATAATACAGCCAAAGGATCATTGACAAGTTGTGAAGTGGATTCTCAAGTACTTGAAGGGTTCAACAAACGTAGATTTAGTGTTGGAAGAGGAACAAATAATAGACATGTTACTAGATTTTGTGATTCAAACTATACTAGTGATCTTGATTGCAAGAGGTCCTTGACTGATTATATTTTCACACTTAGTGATAGTGCTATTAGTTGGCATGCAACTTCATGGTCCACTATTGCCTTGTCAACTACAAAAGTAGAGTATATGGCAACTATAAGAGTAGTGAAGGAATCTTTATAACTTAAAGGTATTGTTGGTGATCTTGGTGTAAGTCAGAAGGACATTATAATGTTTTGTGATAATCAAAGCGCTACTTACTTAAAAAGGACCCAAATGTATCATGATAGGACAAAACATATTGATGTCAAGATGCATTTCATTCTTGATGTCACAAGACGAGGTGGTGTGTTAATAGAAAACATTGGTACTTCTAATAATCTAGCAGACGTGATGACAAAATCTCTTCCATCAGTAAAGTTTAAACATTGTTTAGACTTAGTTGGAGTTACAAATAAGAAGTGAGTAGAGCAACACAAAAGAACAATGAAAACTACCTATGTAATTCAAGCTAAGGTATAGATTTGTGATGTATGACTTGAATATGTTTACCATATATAGTAAATAATTATAAACCATTCATTAAATTAATGATTTAATGTTAACCATTCATAACAAGAGATTTGTGTTACTTGTATTTTAATATAAACAAGTATATAAGATTATAACAACTCATTCAAGTAGAAGAGAGAAAACAATAAGATTTAATCTTTAAAGAACATTATGTGAGTTAAAAAATTTATTGAGAATTCATCTTTTTCATTTTATTTTTTCTTAATAATAGAGATTTTTCTAGTGTCGATTATCTTTAGTATAGATATATTTCTCCTTCAAATACGAATTATCATAACAAATTTACTTATTTTCACCTCATCATAAAATTATTACTACAAAGTGTTACAAATCAATTTAGGTTTTCTTTAGTCCAATTATATTTTCAGCTTGTTTTTACCTTAAAAAATAAAAGCTTAGTCAAAGACCTTTTATGAAAGTTCTAAAAAAAAAAAAATTAAGTCGCCTTTCACTATAATATTTTGGTAAAATTTTCTAATTATAATTGGAGTTTCACTTAACGTATGTGATAAAAGTCTGCATCAAAGATGAGCATCACTTATTAAAGTAAAACTCCTAACTAAAAGGCAACACTAAAAGCACATAAAAAATTGCATGCAAACTTTTTAAAAAGAAAATGTCTTTGATGAAGCCATTCAAAGTTTCAAATATTGGAGGGGACCAGAACCAATAAGATAAAATCTACACAACCCAGCACTAGCATGGCCATGAAACAATTTATTGTTACATGTACACATTGTACAATGTTTTCTCAAATTAAGATCATTACCACACGTTATTCCATGCCAGATTTTAGAACTCTAATTATATCACAGCTTTGAAGGAGACTGATACCAACCCCACTGTTCATCAGATATGTATTGGGTCACTTGCTTCACACTTAAATAGTTCTCCAGTCCCCTGAAACAATAAATAAAAACTCAGACCTAGATTCTCAAGTGATAAAAGAGTCTAGATGTAGCCTAACCAATATTTGCATTTAATAAATGCTTACAATGCACCACGTACAACATATGAATCTCATTCCCCATTTGGCAGCTCATATTCACAACTAATGATATCATTGTGAATTTCAAATGAAGTGTTTTGAAAAAATTGCATTGCTACTCAATTTTGATTCTTTTAAAGGTTTGATTAACTTTTTTTAATTCATATAATCTTATGAAATTTACTTTTTAATTTTTATAATTAAAAATATCCAATTTAAATTCCTATATATATCATTTTTGTTTCTTTTTAATATTTATAGTTGCATAAACTTTACCTCTTAGTTCTTATAGAAATAAATAACAGCTACTAAAACAAACAAAAATCATATGTAAAAGGACTAAAATTAAAATTTTTTAACTATAAAGACTAAAAAGTAAAATTTATAAAATTATAATGAGTAAACTAATAATTAAACATTTTTTCATTTTCTCACATTTACAATCTAAATGAGGGTGAAAGGCATTAAAATTGACATCCTCTTAAGCTGATTTAGGAAATAAGAGTAATACCATTCTCCCAATTCTCGACCAAAACCACTACGTTTAATGCCTCCCCATGGAGCTTGAATGAAGCTTGGTTGAGCACAGTTTATCCATACAATTCCAGCCTGAATAGCCTGCACAAAAGCAACACAAACACAAAAATATAAAAAACTAGTCAATAACACAAAAACCATTTCTTTTACCTTTTTTTTTAATTTTTTTTTAATGATAATCTAGGATCATTCTCACCTTAGATAGGCGCTCACATCTTTCTAGATCTTTTGACATCACAGCAGACCCTAATCCGTAGCTGTGACATAACAAATTATATACAACATTGATTAACAACAATGCACAAGTTAAGAAAAATAATTTACATGTGAAATTAATATCAGTTTCCAGAAAAATCATCAACTCACTGGGTGTCATTTGCTAGTTCAATAGCTTCTTCCTCGGTACTGAATGTTTTCACTGACAGTACAGGTCCAAAAACTTCTTCTCTCCAAATTTGCATGGAGGTAGTCACGTTAGTTATGATGGTTGGTTCAACAAAGTACCCCTTTTTTAAATGCTGCCATTAAATTTGACAAATCTATCATTTCTCATGATAAATGCAGAAATATATAACCGATCACACACTAGAGTTTATATATAATCATACCTCTGGGCGAGATCCACCAGTCAAAATTGTTGCACCCTCACTCTTAGCATTTGAGATAAAATTCAACACTTTTTTATACTGAATCATATAATCCAAATATTAGATATTGCATCATGTTGGTTCAAAACAAGTAATAGGGCATAAACAATTCAGTGATACCACACTAACATGATTGCTCTATACTACATGCGACTTGATCATAATCAGTGATACCACATACCATACATTTTCATTTTGGATAATGGAGAAGGCATTAATAAACACAAGAAGAAATTCAGAAGTCTGTGTTAGCGTAAGGTTTCAGGATTACATATCAAATTCAAATTTCAAACAATATATTCAACCCAAAAGTGCTGCATTAGGGGAAGAAATAAGTGTTATAAGAAAGTTAACAAGCCCGGTAGGAGCTATTATGTTAACATCGATAAATATGCATATAGGAAACTTTGGCCCAAAGAAATAAGTGTAAAGGAAGAATAAGCTTGATATTTGCATTTTTACGTAATGCTATCAAAAATTAAATGAAAGAAACCTCCTTTTACATTATTAAAGGAAGAGAGAGCGAGTAAATATATGGTACATACAGAAGTTATAAACATTAAACATACCTGTCCTTCACTAACAATAGGACCTAGCCTGCAACCTTCTTCCAAGGGATCCGAAATTTTGATGTTTTTGGCCCATTTCACAAGCCTATTCACAAATTCTGTAGCTATACTTTCCTGAAACCATAAAAGCACCTCACTTTATCAATTTTCAAGACACAGCCAACACAATTGCTACAAAGATTATAGTCAAAATTCTACTATTATCTAAATCTGAACCTTCCCATTTATGCAGCAAAATAAGATAAGTGAGCTACAAATACTTGTTTGTGAACAGGGAAATGTGTTATGTATGAAATGAAAAATCAATAGCCGTCTATTAAACTTACATGCACAATAAGGCGAGATGTTGCACTGCATATCTGACCATTTGTAAAGAAGCAACCAAAGATTGTCCATTCAGCAGCTGTTTAAATCATGGAGAAAAGAAAAATAAATGGTAAATGGTAAATGACCATCTGTTTGTATTCTGTAATGGGTTCTAGGTACCCAAATTTTACTCATCTACAATCACGCAATCAGTTTCATAGGATCAACAATGCAAGATAACATAGTCTATCCATAAAAAAAATAAAAGGCACTTACTCTTATCAAGGTCAACATCCTCAAAAACAATGATTGGGCTTTTCCCACCAAGCTCTAGTGAAACAGGCTGCCAACAAGCAACAACAAATTTACTATTACAAGAGCTCACAATGAAAAGAGAATGAAAATATGAAAGGAAAAATAAAAAGGGTTTCTATCATTTTTTTGTATGCAACTATGCATGTTCAATATGAATTGTACATGATGAGCATACAATACTTCTTAAAAATACCTTGACTAGCTGTGCTGCAGCTGTCATAATCTTGCTCCCAGTTACAGAGCTTCCAGTAAAGGCAACCTGTTGAAAAGTTAAATATCAGACACAATGGCATAGGAGCTTTTCAAAGTCATAGCAAAGGAACAATACATGCAACATATAGAATGAACTATATCCCCATATATGATTCTAATAATAACTAGAAACGGTTGAACCTTGGCCACATCTGGATGAGAAGCCAGAGGAGCACCAGCTTCATGGCCTAATCCAGTGACAATATTTAACACCCCTGGAGGAAGGCCCACTTCTCTGCATATTTCAGCCAGCTCCAAACAAGTCCTAAAATTGTGAATGATAAGACAGCATAAGAAACCAGCATAACAAATAATAAAGTTTGCAATCGTAGATGAGCACATACACAGATGCCAATTCAGATGGCTTCAATATTGCAGTACAACCAGCAGCCAGAGCAGGAGCAACTTTCCATGTAGCCATTAAGAGAGGATAGTTCCTAATTCATAACATAAACCAATACCAAATCATTTCATTAGCTATTCAATACATTCAATCAGAAATTGACATCATTGATATTGTGAATGCTTCATTTTCCTATGCAAGTAAACTGAACAGAATCAAGGCCAATGCAGCCTGGCTCGATAACTGGGAAACACACTAGATAAAAGCTAGTGCCTGACTAAGCATACAAGCTTATAAAGAATTTTAAGAATTTTATTAGAAAATACTTTTTATTTTCGATAGAGAAGTTCTCAAAAGCTATTGTAAACTGGATCCTATCAGACTCTAGATGAACTATGTTCAGTTAATCAAGAATGTATAAACCGGTAAATTTCATTGAAAAAGAATGCATAAGTAGTTAAAATGAAGAAACAGCAGATACCATGGAGTAATTAATGCAACAACCCCAAGGGGCTCCTTGAGAACATAACTCTTGAAGGTCTCCATAGGAAGGGATACAGGAGCCTTTTGCTTTGCATCCAACCCTTCGGCAAGCTCCGCATAGTAGTTAAAACAACCAATAACATCATCCTACATCATAAAATCACAGATCCAAATAAGCAAATCACTCATGGCAACATCAGTTATTGCTTTTCTAATGTCAGTTGTCACCACTTACCAGGTCTGCCAATGCTTCCTCTAGCGGTTTTCCACAATCAATTGCTTCGAGTTTTCCTAGTTCATCCTTTTTCTCCGTTATCTGTGAGAAAAAAAAGGTGTCAACACATGCACACGTATTTCTGTGAACACATCTAAGTGAGTAACTATGATTTTTATTGATCTAAAATATTTTAGTGAACACATAATATTCCTAGACGGAAACCAAAGACTAATTCTTCCAATTACAAAGATGCATCTAAAAGTCTTGAACAATTATCTTGATTCTTTGCATTAAATTTTATCAAAATTAAACAAAAATGACTTAAATATTTTAAATTATATATATTATGTAAATTTAATATAAATTAATGAAATATTAAACTATTTTATATTAATATTAAAATTTATAAATATAATCATATGATAAAAACTTTTAATCCAATAGTAATTATTATTATTTTTGTTTGCACCACCAAATATATCCTCCAAGTGAAGGTTGGAGAAACTAATTCCTTTCGTAAAGTTGCTACCGAGAAATCAGACATGTTTAAAGAGCACAGTTATCTACCAACTTTGCTGGATAATACTATGCTATTTGATGTAACTTGTAACTTTGTAAGTTGATCTATGATTGGGAAATAGAAACATATTTAATTAGTTAAAGTAAAAATAAAAATAAAAAAGAAGTAACCTTTGAAGCGATGGCTCGAAGATAACGAGCACGAAGGGAGCCAGGAGCAGCTGACCAATCTCTGCCCTTGTTCCGGGACAGTGCTCTTTTAGCAGCATCCACAGCAAGCTCAACATCTTCCTTAGTTCCACCTGGGATATTCCCTGATCCAACACCAATCACATCAAGTCAAAACTTGGAATCACAAGTGAAGTGGTTATTATTTAGTAATTACTAGTACTATTAACCTGTCATAATCATTAAAATTTTAAACTTAGAATCACTAGTGAAGTGGTTATTATTTAGTAATTACTAGTACTATTAACATGTCATAGTCATAAAAATTTAAAACTGCCACCATGTTGGTAAAGTTTAGTTTAGACAAAATGAAAAGAGAAAAGAAAAGGAACCTATTATGTCTTCAGTGGCGGGGTTGATGATCGGAATCCTGTTGTTGAGAACTGGGACTCTCCACTCTCCATCTATGAATAGTTGTCTACTGGGTACTGAGATTGCCATTTTTTTTCTCTTCTCACTCCCTCTCTCTCTCTCTCTCTCTCTGCTATGTTGCTGTCTATAATGGTGCAAGATAATATATAATATGACATGATTGAAGCTACCTCATGTTCTTGGTAATGAGTCATCACAGTTTTTTTTTCTTTTTTTTTTTATTTGCTTTTTTTGTCGGTACCAAACTAGCAATTATCCAATCTTTTTATTGACTTTTCATTAATTGGCATGATTTCATTGCTTGTACGTTATTCTTTCCACGTTCTGATTGTTAAATTGATCGATCTAAGGACATTATTCAGTTAAGAACTCTTACACTTGTAGCAGTTACATATACATTTTATTTTCAAGTTGTAAACAGAGTTGTTTTTTAATGGTTTAATTAAGCGAGGTCATGTTACCCCTAACCCAGGGCCGTGATCACCCCCGACATGTTAACCAAGGTCACGATACCCATATAACAATCTCGGGCCGTGCTCACCCCTGGTCATAGGTGTGAAGAACCACAATCACATCACAATTCTTACAATTAACACTATGTCAAGGCCACGCCACAACTGACATAAGTGATACGTGTTAATTGTCTCACTCATCCCACATCATGCCAGGGTCACGCCCTCCCTGTAGCATCACTTACCCAGGGGTCGTGCCATCCCTAGTCATTGATGTGAGGAACCTCAATCATAATCATATTCACATTCATCACATCTCATCTTATAGCTCAATAATATATCACATACACACCACGGATAAGTCCAACAAAATAAGGGTTTCATACACCTCAAGCAATTCACATATAAATTATCAATTCTTATCAATTGATATAACAATAATATTCATAAATTAATATAATACTCAACAGAATTACCAATTTATATAATTTCAACATAAACAGTAAAATCCCCAATTGTTCCAAAACCTAGCTCACAGGCACTTTTCTACAATTTCGTTCTCTCTCCCAGATCATCATTCTTACAAATTATTAGCACATTTATAATCCTCAACACATACCGAATCTAATGAGATCATCAATTCCCCAAACAGAAATCATCCAATTTTTCACAACCTAACTTACAG